ATCTCTAGTGGAATATACTCTAATGGCAAAAATGACTGTAAATTTTAAAAGCAATGACATCAACAGTTATTTTGAGACTAATATATATTGTAGGATTTTAAAAATATCTCATATGACTAAGAATCACAATCTTCAGCATAATAAGAAAGAGAATTATAGGGAAGGATTCTTTTTTTCCTTTTTCTTTTCTTTTTCTTTTGGTTGGCTCAGGCTGCCTTAAGAGTGGGTCTGGTGCAGCATGCGGTGTTGGGGATTGAACTGCAATCCACTGCCCCTGACTGATTTTGCCCAAGCAGGCGCTTTAGACAACTGAGCTAACCCATCTGTCCCCAGAAAGAGAATTATAGTAAAAGAAATTAAGCAAGTTTTGGAATCTAAATAAAATTGGAAATGTTCATATAAATTTATTTTAAAAAAAGAAAAAGCAAGAGTGAAAGGAAGACTTCCTTGCTAATTCTTCATTCAAAAGGATTATTATTTAAAAACTAATATCCTGGGGCTGGGGAGATAGCTGACATGCATAAGCACCTACTGGCAAGCACAAGGACCTGAGTTTGATCCCTGGCCCAGGAACCCCGGGACATGCTATGTCGTGCTGAGACAGGAGGATTGTTGGAAGTTTGAGACTAGCCTGAGGGCTATAAAAGTGAGCACAAGCCTGGCCCATACTGTATAGTGACATGACACCCTGTCTCAAAACAAAACAAAACAAAAACCTAATATACTAATAAAATATCCACACCTAGAACTCAGATTATGGTTTCTCTAAACATCATTTCCCATTTCCAGTTAGCTGGAATAGTGCTCATTAGAGAAAGAGAAGGTAAGAATGTGTAAGAGAAGCCTGGTATATCTTGTTAGATGAGATATCAAAGAAGTTATTAAGAGTTTTTTTTGTTGTTGTTGTTTTGTTTTTTTTGCAGAACCAAGGATTGAACTCAGGCCCTTGCGCTTGCCAGGGAAGTGCTTATTCCACTAAGCCATCTCCCCGGCCCTATTAAGAGATTTTGAGATACCATAAAGACTGCAGAGAAAGCCAGCCTGAACTATATAGCAAAGCTCTGTCTCAAAACAAAGAAAACTACAGACATAATATTAACAGTAGACAGAAAACCATATGGAATGTTTAAGAAAACTTATCAGAACAAATAAACGAATTTGGGGGGG